GTTCATTTCTTTGAAAATGCAAGAGCAAAGAGCGAACTCGCAAACAGTCGCACCCATCCTGGTGAACGTTATCGGTGCTATGTGTGCATGATCTCTCCCGTCTCTGTTTTCTCGTACCTTTTTCGTCTGGTACCTCTCACAGCCATACAGTTTTTCGTACTAAACTCGATTGCTTGATTGTTTTTCTTCACAAAGGAGCCACTTGTAACCCAAAATTCGGCCAGCACAGATTCATTGTTGAGCCCGCCGCTGAACGCATTCCACTATCGTCATAAAGTCAAGCGATCAAAATGGCATGTTGGTCTGTTTCTGCCCTCATTAGCTTGACTACATATTTGCTCTGCTCGCCAGGGGTTCATAATTCCAAACGAGGGAAGTTTGCTTGAGCCCAAATGCCACATTTGAGGGAAAAGCTTAGTTCTATGACTGGATGCCGTAGACTGTGTAGTAGCTTCTGCTGCACAAAGCACTGCTACTTTTCGCCGTCGAGCTGTCCATGCGGTGAGAATCCGCTCGAAGGCATTCGGTCGTCGATTAGAAACTCGCGAAGCGTGTAATCTCTAATTAGATGTTCCAATGCCGGCCGCGGACACACACGTTGTTCAACATCATCGAAACCGGGAAAAGCCATTAACCATGGGAATTCAATTGTACTCTCGTCGTTCGTGGTCGCTGCGACAAATCGAATGAACGACGACCGCATGAGACCAAATTAATACGTTAGCTTGGCCATCATTGTGAGGAGAAACCGCTAGTGAGGATGAAGTGCAACTCATTCTGGGATTGCTGTGGCAGACAGCGGTGCGTTTCCCTTCGATGTGCACGGCGTGGAACGGACAAAGAAGGGATGAAGAGTGTTGTGAATCATAGCCTGCAATCTCATTCGAGGTCCAGGATAAATGGGCAGAATCAAACTCGCCGACACGAGCTCGGCCATACTAGGGTGAAGCAACAGATGGAGCACTAAGCAAAGCACTTCCTAATAAAGCTGCCGGAAAAGCGATAAAGATGGTATGCACAAAGAAGGAATATAATGAACACGGATAGGCGAACCTGGGAGAAAAACAAAGTCTTCCAAATTGTTAGAGAACGTGAAGAGCTCGTGACACAGAAAGGACATGAGATTTGAGTTTACTTCAACCGCGGGGAGCATGGCGCGATTCCTGAGCTCCTCTCCCTCTCCTCCAACCTCCACCCCGCTAAGACAGCGACTGAAGTCACGATCTAGCTCAGGTTTTTGAGCCGATAAAGGGCCTTAATGCAGTGCACGTCCATAAAGCCATTTCGTAAAGAGCACGGCACCCTCTTCCATTTCGTTCCATTATTTCGCCGCTCTTCTCACGCCTTTCAGCTTTTCATCCTTTGGCGCTCATAAATATCCTCGCCTGGGTTGCCGTTGTGCTTTGTCATTTTGCCGGGGTCCAGTATAGCCATGCAGATGTTTCTACCCGCTCGATTGGCCGCTACCTCTTCCGCGAGCTCATCGTTTTACAACTTCAAAAACAATTCGTCCATCCCGTTGTGAGTGCTTATCCAAGCATTGGAATGGCTCTGAGTGGATCTTCTTCATTGTCGTCCGTTACACAACGATAGCATGAAGAATCGTCGAAGCAAGCACAACGCCCGCTAGCGGTTGGGATCTTACGGCTTTCCTCCGGACCGAGCCGCATCTCAGAAAATTATCCACATTTTCAAAAAAACTCCTCAACCCAACTTAAAGGGATTAATGATAGAGGCGACTATTTCCCTCCTGTTGACAGCCTTTTCTTAAAAGCCCTGCCAACTTCGCCAAGTACGCACGCCAACATTGCACCTCCCCCCTCACCTCCACAAGGGCCAAATATAATCCCTGTCGTGTGACCCATGCCTCGCCCAGGGTAGGGGTGGAAGGGATGAGTGTGACCGACGTCGTTCACTTGAACGCGGTGCACTTGTGCCTGTATAATTTCCGCAATGTATTCTCCAGTATTTCTCGTTGAAAGCAGCCTGTTTTTCCATCAGCGTCATAGACCGCAAACCCTATTCTAACAAAGAAGTCATGATGAGCGCTAAACCGCGGCCATCAGTTTTTTTTCTGAATTAATGTACTCTATATTAGGAGGGCGGGAGCAATACGAGCGTTAGAACCTTCCATCGACGGATGGTCAACAGGCAATTCCATAAACCATCACGGCAATTATTCTACTCATTCCAGTCCTAACTATGAATTAGTCGGCACTGCGGGCTCTCCCTAAACTGCTTCCTGCCTTCAGCTCCATCGAGCCAAAACACATACTCATAACGCTGCCCCATTTGAAGTGTTGACATATCCTTTCAAGTGCTCTGGATCACCTCTTATAAATCTAGAACCCATAAGGTCACTCAAAAAAGGAATCGGCATTGACGAGATCATTGCAGTCCTAAGGCGACGGCGACTTATTCCTCTTTTCCACTCAGTCCCTCGTTAATTTTTTGAGAGGAACCCATATTCACTGTTTTGATCACATCCCTCCTGCGCTCAGAAGAAGTACCAAACTGACCTTCTGTAGCTGCGTGAAGCGTAAGAGTCCTGTCCGTAGGGCGTAATCCGTCCACTTACGACGCTGTGCGCAGGCGTCACGGGCCTCGAGCTTCTGAAATTCATTCTCTCATTTTTTTCTCATAGTACCCGGCACTGCATATCAACATTGGGCCACATAGTCAAATCCAGGGAAGAAAAGATACTAATCACTTCGACCTCTGTAAGTTTCACTCCAGCATGGTTATTCTGGTCGCAGCCGCATCAATCTACTTACACTGCGCTTGGGCCAACCCCACCGTTGGTACTTCCTCAAAATTTTACGACTCCTCCCCTTTCAGAGACCTTGATACACCGGCCTCCCTGGGGATTCTGTGCATATGTAAACCTTTAATGGCTCAGAAAGCTGGCTTAATATCTTCACTTTCTTGTACAGTAAAGCACCAACATCGAGAAGAATGGAGAGACGCGGAATTACCGAACTCAAAATGGGTACTCCGCTCAAATCCGTGTATTTTCAAAAGCTGAGGCACATTTGAAATCTTCTGGTCTTCAGCTTTTTTTAGCTAATGTATTTATTTTGAAGGAAGTGCAAAGATCAGTTATAAAGTAAAAATATAAGTTCAGTGGAATCTGCACTTGCATTTGCCTATGGTCCTAACTTCCTTCAATTTCGAGGAGTTGTAACGAGGTAGGAAGATTTTCTGAGGATCTGCGTGTTTTTCACCTCCAAACGACCACAGCTTTCTTGAAAGTGATAACCTTAAAAAGTGGAAGCCAGAAAGATGCTTTTAAAGGGTTCCTCGATTTCCATCTGCTCCTCAAATTTTTGAGAATTCCTGAATCGCAAAACTCAGTGATTCAGAAGAAACAGCCCCCCGGCTGGAACTTTTTTTTGGCTTTTTGATGTACTACTTTATTCTTAAAAGAAGAGCACAAAACCCTTCCTCGCCAAGCAAATAACTTAATGAGTTTCATACTTTTGAGCTCAAACTGAAATCTATCCAAATTCAACGACAATCTAAGACGTTAGTTCTGCGTTGGAGCATTTTTTTGGAGTGCCTTTCTAACCACAGCATTTTGCAAAAGTGCCGGCGGAGTTGACGCTCCCAGTGACCGAACAGCTTCCTTCAGGGAACCGATTTCGAGTGTAAAAGATGCTTAAATCGGCCTTAGAGATAGTGAGGTGGCGTGCTTGGTCAAAAATTTGCAGGCCAAGCGTCCTCTATTGCGCGCAGCATTTCCCACAACATCCAGAATCACTTTAGAGAAAGCATATCCTTTCTTCGCAGAGGGTTTGTATTGACAGAGAGAAAGTGTCAACACTTTCTCTGCATTCCTCATACAATTTACTATTCGAGAAATTTTCAGAAGTTCAGTTTACGTGACCAAAAACAACAAATGGGATCCTTGGACGACAGCCGTGGTGCGCGCCACCCCTGTGCCGCGCTTCTAAGCTCGCTGATGCATTTCAGGGCCGATATCACCACAATTCTCAACTCTGTTGAACGCGGCTCTAACGACCTCCCCGCTCCCCTGTGCCCAGCACGACCGTCTCGTTTGGTCGTGCAACCAAGGGACGGTGGACGTGACCATCGCTGCGCGCACAAAAGATGCGCACAAACAGCCACATTTAGTCCAAAAATGTGCTTAGGGACAAAAAAGCCGAGAGCGCACCTCTTCATCTCTCACTATTGACAATGGGCTCATCTGCTTGTTTAAAACCCCTCTCTCGAGTTACCTGTTGATAGTGTCTCGCATTCGTTCAGCTTCTTCCAGCGGTGTGAACACGACGTTGCGCGCATTCCTGTAATCCGAACGGCTTTGGCTCTAAAATCGACAGTAACGCTTTCTTCGAAATTAAATAGCATTCCACTGTAGGGTCTTCTTACTCTTCCTTGGTAAGCTTTGCAGCAGGCGAGCCCAGCAGGGAGTGCACAGCCGCCTACTGGGTCAATCCCGAGCTAGTTTATCACCCATATAACGAGGAACATGTGTCAAGGGCATGTAAACACTACCAGAGGAAATTGTTGTTGAAGTGCCTTGAAGGAGGGCAGTCATAAAACGGGAATTTCCCTTCTGCCAGGTAGACGGCTTGTGTTAGCCTCAGGGCAAGTAGCTCGAGAAGCTGCGGAACATAAGCCCAGATAATCACTGGAAAGTGCTGACGTCCCCACCATGAACTTGCCAATTTGGAGTCTGACAAACAGAGTCACCCACCTGAATACATACTGCGCCTCGTTTTCACTGGCATCGTCCAGCCTACTCACAACCTGCTCGAGTTTCCTCATTGTGGGACCGACGCTGCTGGCCCGGTACGGGGTGGCCGTCGCGGAGCGATCATATCGACTGAAAGAGAAAAGTGTGATGTGCGACACACAGAACAAACTTTGTTACGTAAGTAAAGAAGAACGCAAATGGATTTTTCATCAGTGGAGATAAGCCATCTCAAAAAACGGGAGAGGGCAGGGTTAATAACGGACGAGGATTTCCTCGACCCCTGGCACTTACTGAGGCGTATGAGTAGGTCCCGAGAAGTGAATGCATGCGCAGAGAGCTCGCGGTAGGTCGAGAGTGGGCATCTGCGGTGGGTAGAGCGTGGAAAGCATCCTCGACGAGTCGTTTGTCGTTTCCTCAAGCGATTTCCACCCTGGGAGAGGGGGTGCCTAGCCACGCGTTGCGGCCGCGATGCGGGTGTTCTGTGAAAGCCGCGGCCATACTCCGCGATTGCATTGCTTGGCTTGCAATTCTACTGTGGGGCGATCCGGCATTATCGACACATCTAACATGACATTCGGACTGCAAAACGGTGCCATAGACAACCCCTCAGTCCTTCATTTTGCCTTTTGCTGGGCCGATGCACACAGCTGGCGAGCACATTGCGCACCCAATGCGTGTTTAGGTAAACCCACTAACGGCTGAGGTTCTATTTTGAGTTCGGCTTTTCCAGACTGCTCGCCTCTTTATAAAGTTTGCTTCTATGGGCAAGGTCATCTTGAGCGAACAAAAACCGGGAAAGTGAGTCTGACCGGCTCGAATCAGCTTGGTGGCCAGTATGACCGAGATAGGCAATTTGAAGCTTTGCTCCTCAAAGGTCAGCTCAACAATTTTCGAACTTTGGGCGACGTAAATGGTAGCCACTTCATGAGTGAAAGTCCCCTGCTATTGAGACCTCAACACATGGGGATTTGCCGCTTCCGCAGCAGAGCTGGATTAGGGTTACGCCGTGCGAAAGGCGACCGAGGGTAAGTCTTTCCTCAATATGCCTCCCCAATTGTTCGGCGTGTGGGTGGACAGTCTTCCTCATATCTCTCTTGTGGCGATTTGTTAGGAAGAAAAGAGTGGAGTGGCCCAAGCACCAGGTTGAATCAACATTTTCTGAAGTACCTTTACATTTATCACATGGAAATTTGTAGAGAAAGCTCGAAGGCTTCCAAATGTGCGTCACAGATTTCCTTTTACTAAGTACTTGTTGAAGGAATCGTCCACGAAAACAGCATTATTCTACATATGTTCATCCATAAATCGCCTACGTGGCAGCCATGGGTTGACAGGGCAGGACGTGGACGAAAAATTGCGTTGGTTCCGTAGAAAGCTACTCCAAAGTAGGAGTAGACTGCCAGCATTTTGAAAATACCCGCCGCCCATTCTGATCCAACTTTAACGTTGCGTGCGGAAAACGCCGATTATTACATCCGCCTTCAATCCTATGGCCATAAACATTTACGCATTCCCTATTGCACCCTATCATCAGCCCTCACCTTCCATTCGAATTTTAGTACCACATCTACGCCGCATTCCAGTTCATTCGTCGACATTAGCCCATAGGCCGCCACCACAGGCGTACTTTCCCCGAGCCTCCCTCCCGACCGCATTGGGCTACGCATGCATGACACTTTCGTCGCTGGAACCACTTTGGTGTCACCCGACAAGCAATACCAACAACGCTAGCATGGCGAAGGAAGAGACAACTTTCACGTAAACGGTTACTCTGTTCCCTCATCCAAGACTAACTTCGCGAAATGGTTCGATCACTAAAAAAGAAAAGAGCAGCTCTCTTCAGGTAACCCATTAACTACCACTCGAAAAGAGTCCATTCAATAGATCGCTATTAATTATACGATAGATCTAACACCTTCAGCCCGGACCTTCCCGTAGACTACAACGGCATCACACAAACGATGCCCAATAGACGCACACTCCGTTTCGATAGACCATATGGACACACGTTAAATCACCCATCCAGCCAGCCTTTCAAATGGCACATCTGCAAACGACCCATCAACACTCGACCGAGCTTGGAAATATGGACCTACACGACCTGCAGGCCGCCACAGTCTCCGATCTCACACCACGACACATCTGACATCGCTGCTTGTTCCCTAGGTTTCGGCCTTCTCCATCGAATAACTAGCTAGCACGCGTTACCGTAATTGCTTAATAATCAATACCGTAAAGCGAAACAGCAATTTGAATGTCTAAACTGAAACGCTCGACCGCCCGTTAGGTGTAAGTTCTTCCGCGGAATATCGAGAAGAGCTGTGACGCGTAAGCGCCATGCAAATCACGCCCATGGTCGCAAACCAATGTTATCGACTTGACGAAGCGCTAAAGAATAAAGAGAAAGGACACAGGTAATTCTCTTTCTCTGGGAGCTCCCACACCCAGTTGCTAAGAAAAATTCAGATAAACAATCGAGAGATCCCATAGAATGACAGTACCAAAAAATTTATTTCCACCTTCATCGCTTCAAACTTTCCTACCCAAAGATAACCGACTAGCTGTTCCTCTCTCCGGCTGTTTCTCGACCAAGAGTTTCCGACTAACGACCGTCGCGAACTTTAAAAATTCTACCTCTGCCTTTTTTCGATCAAATTCTATGAAATTTCGTAAACGACATCGCGTATACATAAAGAACGCATTGCTGGTAACGTTTAATGTTTGCTGCTTCGATTAAAGAAATTAAAGAAAGAAATAAAAAAGATAGGAACATAAAACAATAATGTGCTTCAGAGGACCAACATATATCATCCAACACTTCTGAAGAATGAGTAAAAAAACCAATGAGAAGCAAAGAGGGAGAGAATGGTTCGAATGGGATGGCTTATGGTTAGCCCACCTTTCATTCTCCTGCGTTTTCCACTGCGTCATGTCGGGATGGCAGCTCTGTGTCATTTCGCGTTGCACGGATGCCTCCCGCTCCAGTCGCATCTTCTGAGTTCCTGGAACGATCACCATCACCCGAGAGTTTTTCCTCAAGTCAACAGAATTATAAGCCTGTCATGCCTTCTTTTATCTCAATCATCTTAATATTCAAAATTCTTGCTCGTTGCTTTCCTTTTTTTCTTTCGACTTATCACACTTCAATCCTCTTCTTCATAGAAATCTTTTACAACTGACCACTTACCGTGTAACTCGGCCATGACATCGGCAGGCAGCTTGCCGATTCCGGGTGGCTCCTTTTTGGTGGTGATGGGTTGCTGCGGAGTGTACTCCCATGGATCCACAGTCGTGTCCTCCCTGCCATTTACGGTATCAATTCGTACTGGTCTAAGCGGTGGAGGAGGAGGAGCTGGTGGAGGTGCATGCATTGGAATCTCTCCTACACTAGGACTAAAACAATACTTTAGGTTGTGCCTAATTCGAGGAGAGCGTCCCGGAACATTAACTGGAAACTTGTCAGACTATCCGTAATCGAATGTATAGATTAGACAAGTACCTGATCTCCATATGAGCGCCATCGAGGCTGGTGTCGGTGAATCGGTGTGTTGATGGCCCTGGGAAGTCTTCGTGGTGCAACTGGGAGTCGGGAATGTACGACGACGTGTGTCGGGGCATCGCTACGGGGATGCCGTTGTGCTGCTGAGTGACAGTGTCAGCAGCGTACATCTGAACTCGTTCGGCCGGTGTGGGGTGCCCGCGACGTGTGAGCGGTTCGGGTTCCGGCGCCGCCGACGGGATGACTCCTTGATCGGGCTGGACCTCTTGCTTCACCAGTGACTCTTCCGGATTGAACTCGACCTTGTTGAATGATGGCGAATCCTGAGCGAGAGGTTTGAAGGGTTTCGGTGCCGATCGCGGTAGCGGTTTTGATTCCACACTCGGCCAGAACATAGCCCTGACCACAGCCCATAGGCACTGAGCTGTGGTCCATAGGAGTCTTGCCACTTTGCAGGCTATTCCGTAACAGAATCGCCCAATGCGTCTTGCATAGAGGACCACAATGTCCTTCGTCTTTTTGATCCATTCAGAAACTCTGTTCCATACGCTTTTTCTCGGAAAGCCCCGTGGTTCGTCGGTTTTCACTGCGGTGGACGACGAGCTCGACTTCTGGGAAGCGGCCTTCGCTTGCGCCTGCTCGGTCTTCCTCGCCTCCACGCAGCAGTTCTTCAACGTTTCCACCGAGTATCGTTCACACTTCCAGTTCGGATTTCCTCTGAAAAAAGTGATTTCATTCAAAGAAATCTCCAAACAACTTCAACTTCTTTCACCTGAAAAGACGTCTATCACTTGGGTGGGCTGCCCTTGCGCGTCATTCTCGCCGCTCGCGCACTTAGCCCTACAACCCCGAGTTTCAGCGGATTTCTAAGTCCTGGGTTTTAATTTATGCTGAATTGCTGTTTAATTTTTTTCCATCATAAACATTCAGTTGAACAACGGATGGGTTACCAGATTGCCACAATTTGTCCGAG